CGTCTTGACCGCCACTTAGGTTTATCTACTCTTCCCCAATAAAAAGAAAAAAAAACTTCGTCTTGACCGCCACTTAGGTTTATCTACTCAGTTTTGTGTTCACATCGTGCACGTTCCTGAGAACCCCATGTAGTGTACCTAGATATATTCCTCGTTCGGTTGGAATGATGCGCATTGAAAGTGAGTCCAACGGTCACATTGATTCCACGTTCTCCTCATCCAAGTGGGCCGTGGCTTCCCTTCGTCTGCACACGCTGCACACGTCTGTTTTCGCCGGGGATGAACTAGTTGATGTCNCGAACCCGTGAATCACTTCAAGACTCGATTGGCAAGAGCCATATTCGTCCTGTGCAACTGAACTGAACTGAACTGAACTGAAGACTTCAAGACAAGACTTCAAGGCCACACAGGGTCATATGAAGGTCTGCAGTTTTTTAAATGTCTCGCCTCTCCATTAGCCTACTATACCGGGGGCATGTCGGATCATGTATACACCGGTCTATAACCACCTCCAATACTCTAAAAGGAACATTCACGAGACCTAATGGAAACTGGGTCCAAAGATTCGTTAGGCGATTGGATGAATCGGAGCGGTTAATGCTACTCAACGAGCTATCTAAACGAGTAAAAGAAAGCACCAGTCAAGTCTCAACTGATAATGCATCGCCTATTGCTCAGTCAAATGAGTTATCCGCATCACATTTTCGTATGAGTAGGTAATTATGGCTCGGATAACCTTTTTAGTTTATATCGCTAATGGGTTGCCGTTCATTGGGTTTGGTTTCTTGGATAATGCCATCATGATCGTTGCAGTAAGTTATGCTGGCATTGTGTAACGAGCTCCATAAGGGGGAGTACATTGATCTTACTTTCGCTTCTCTGTTTGGTTTGTCAACAATGGCAGGTGAGGATCAATTTTTAAAGTATATTGGGCCTCTTTTAGCTGCTGGACTTGGGAATCTAGTCTCCGATATATTTGGTCTTGGGTAAGTGAATTCAAATGCTTTTACTGCTTCCGGTTTTCTTTAATCACTACTTGGGATGCCTATAATTTTTTTCTCGAGAGATCTTTTGACTCAAGAATTTTACAGTCCAATAACGCACCGTTTTTAGCTCAATGAACCCGCCCTTTATGTGCATGACAGAAGCATAACAAAAGAATGTCGTACAGTCTTGGAAGTGACTCGGAGACATTACGATTTTTTCGGCCAGTTTAGTTCAATTCCCTCACGACGATTTGTGGCTCTCTCCAATCGGGCATCCAGATTTGTGTGTTGTCGGCAAGTTTCTTAGGTTTCCAGCACTTTGAGATGCAATTAAAAAAATTAAAGGTAGAGTAGTATGATGCAGTATCACATCCTTTGAGGTTAAGTTGTAAATAGTACATAAACCCTTATCTCAGGGAAAACTACTGTTCAACTTCCGTCCAGTGCCTTCTTAAAGGCATTTACAGCTTATCGCTATCTGCGATAGCCGGCTCAACAATGAAATCACCCTGAGTGGTTTCTCTTCAGACAAAAGTTCAGTTCAGGGTCCAGAACTTGACGGCGAGATATCAACTTGTCCAGTTTCTTGCTCTGGTGCGTTCTTGGATCCCCAATGCTTCAACTTTACGACAGTAGTCTTCAGGGAGCAGTAGATTCTCTGGTTTCATTCCTGCGTAAGCTTTTTTCGCATACCTGCATGTACAGTGGATAAAGGAATGTCCCTCATTTAGTTACCTTGGTACTATTTCTCAAATATGTTCTTCATTCCTCGCTAGTTGAATTCTCTCGTGCCCGTATGCAGAACCAGTGTGAATAGGTGATCGAATCTCAGACCTTATAGACCCTTGACAACCTTAAGTTTCTCAGGTCTCCTATCGTATGTCTCCGTTTGAGAGAGTAAAGATTCAGATTCTTGATTTTCTTTTCATAGCCTTTTCCTCGTTGCCCAGCTGTCACCCGTGTGGCTAGACGTTGAGTTCTCCCTAGGATGTCGGCGTCCCATCCATAAAACGGAACCCAAACCTGCAAACAGTATTCTAGATCTGGGCAGACGATACGTTTGTATGGAGAGAAGCCCTGTGCAAAATGAACTGAACGGAATCTGAACAGCGTCGCATTTTTGTCCGTAAAATAAATCCGGAAGATGTTTATCTACTTTCGTCTCCTTGAAACTCTATATATTGAGGTGCGTAACTTAGCCCTTCTGGCCGGACGATCTCGTACCTTTCGTGCTTCAGAGTTCCAGGGATCTTATAATCGTAAGGGACTGAATCGTGACCGATACAGACGGTTTCTCATAATTATTCTTGTTCTCTTTCTTCTTTAGGTCAGTTCAGGTCTTTCCTCTATCTAAGTTTGTTTTAGTTTCGTAGCATTGAGGCTCGCTTTCAGAATTCCGAAAAATCCTTCGCTTCCATTAGTCATAACCGAGAGTTTTTACATAACAGCTCCTTTCATTCGACACTCTACTCTGTTTTCTGTGCTTTTTGTGGATTTCAATGACTTCCGGTCTGATTTATTATACTTATGACATCTATGTAACGCGTACTATAAGTGCAATATATCCTAGAATAAACATCAATCAGCTGATCGGAAGCGTTTTGCATACAAATGTCCCGAAAGGGTCGATCCCATTGAAAATTTTGACCACCTCTCAACAGTGCATGCCCAGTTCGGTGGACTACCTAGTGTTACATTCGCCAGTCACTTTAGTAATGCTGATCCTGCGGTTTTCCCAGCCTTATGCTGTAAGGAATAAAGGAATGGCATCAATTGATAAACGTATTCTTCCCGGCTCTTTCGAGCTGCACACCGCCCGCACTAATTAAAACTTTTCGATCAACCTTATAGGCCTTTCTTATTTCCCCATTCGTATCGGTAAAGAACTCACCAATCGACACGCGACGATACCACCCACTTGAACAGCCTCGTTTCAGTTTGACTTTCGAGTGATTGCGTCTGAATGATTGAATGAGAGCGATTATCTCATGGCTCCATCATACACCTTGGGCCATGAATATTGGGCTTTCCGTTTGTCATTACTCTCGTATCCCCAGACAAAGAAGAACTAAATACTTACAGAAATCCACTGTGACCCACTGAAATCATTTGATACGAAGCCCAGCTGCCGTGCCTTCTGTAATGCAGTTACAACTAGAAATATCAGGGTGGACTCGATGTGTACACCTACTAGAAAGAACTAGACTGATTAGTGACCTAATTTTGACAGACCAGGCTGAACCTAGTTGGTGCTTATGCATATGCACCTTATTGATGTGATCAATGGCAAAAACCGTGTGCAGAACGCTTTCCCTCAGCTGATCGATTGCGTGATCTTCGGTCGTGAATTCCCACATGCTATATTTTCGACCGTTTCAGTGGCAGTTTACTTCTCAAAACAAATACGCTAGTTTCACTCGAGTATAGTGATTGCAGTGCAACACACTTGAGGGTGATCACTGTTTATTGTTTGCCTGAATTAAATACTAGAGCGCCCCACCTGTATTTTTGAACCTTGATGTTTCTGTCCCACGGATTGGATGCCAAAGCGCGTAATTGAATGGCTTACACAGATACTTGGTACCACGTTGACGAAAAGATGACTCGGCCCAGACCGGGGGAGGATAAGTTTATCGGTCAAAAACCACGCTAGATAAAAGTCGGAGCGGAGCCAATAGGGTTTTCTCCCGACGGTATGATTTCTTGCTTCATTGGCACACTGCCGTTCGCGCTAACCTGACAAGCTCTAACTAATTAGGTGCTGTCCCGTCCACGTCCCGTTTGTTTCGTTGGGTGTATGAGTCTAAAGGCTAATCTCAGAGGGCAAATCAACAATTAACGCACCAACAAACAAAAGTGAAAAAACCGAAGGCCCTATTTGAAAGGTTTTTAGAAGTTTTCAAACAGACGCTTCAGTCACCCGTCCCCCCATCTCACCGCGTTGGTCCTGCGTCCCCATTGCGTTGCGGACCAGTCTTTTGATTCAGATGCTGTGGTTATGGTTCATGAAGAAACACTTGAAAACTTTCCGTTTCCTCGAGGGGTCATACTTTTGAGTTTAAAGCTCAGTGCAGAGTTTCCGAACGCCCTAAATTCTCAGACACTCGTTTTTAAAATGATCTCTCCCTTGTTTAATATTTTCTCTTCCCAAGTCATACAAGATGCATATTGTTTCCGCCACTGCAGGGATGCCACTTGGCATTCAACTATGAAGGTAATACGGCCAGAAGTTACTGAATCTATGAACAAAAAGCTTCGTTTTAGTTAGTTTCATTCAATTCCACACTATCAGGTCGGCCTAAAGGCTGCCCTAACTAGACGTATTCTGTCTCCGAAACATGCATACGAGATCCTACTTCAATTATCACACAATGGTCTTTAGATCGCATCTCATCTTCACCCTACAGGTCAGAAGCCACTGCAGTTTATTCGTCTTGTTCATGTATCCTCCAACTGATTGCAGTGTTCCTGATCTGAAGATTGATTTCTCTCTCTCTCGCTATATATATATATATATATATATATATATATATATATATATATATACAAACGAAAAATATAGGTACGGAAGCGGGGAAAATAAAACAGTCAACTTCGGGAGTAACAATTGTTTGTTTGTTTACTGCACGCTATTTTGAGTTTTTTTCGTTTTGGTT